AAAGGCAGCCGCAGGCTGGTGGAAGCGGCAGGGCGCCCCCAGGGCCTGCAGAGGAGGCCATGGGCCAGGAACAGGGGACACCAGCCACCAGGCGCACATAGAGGTATGTGCTCCCCCATCAGAGAGGCCCCTTGCCCTCCAAGCCTGGGCCCGGCCAGGCTGCCTGTGAGCAGACACCTGTCCAGCAGGACACGTAGCCTCAGTACACAGCAGGTGTACAAACCCAGCCTGCCAGTGAATTAAAGGCGTGCCCCACAGCACACAGGTTTCAACAAGACTCATGCCACCCCCGTGCTGCCTGCTCCACGAAGAATGCTGAGTTACGTAAAATTAAAATAGAGTCAGAGCTGGCTGCTCTGCGTCTTTAATCCCACGAGGAAACTGAGGGTACCTCCTTTCACCCAAATTCTACATTTGCAAATATTCAAATGGTTCTCAGCACCTTCTCCTTCACCCAGAGCCCTGCCCCAGGCTAGTGTGTAACAAAGAAGCCCAATTTGGACAATTGGTCCTCTGGCCAAACTGAACCTTAGAGGAAACCATTGGGTGCTATTCTCCAAGGAACACTAAAAGGAATCAAAGCCACCATGAGAACTGTTTTGGATGATCGAGTGGCTTCTTTTTATCTTCAAAGAACCGACATACAGTAATTAGCCTTCACACCACCCTCTGAGCGAAGAGGTTTGTTATTTCTCTTCTACAGGTGGGTGTGGAGCAAGGCCCTCACCTCTGCCTGGGGTCACCGGTGTTGCTACAGAGTCTCCAGGCTCCAGACTGGCCCACTTACATCAGACTCCTCGGGGCAGCAAAGTGCCCAGGTCAGAGCCACTGGAGGCTGGAGCTGGGCGGTCCAGGCTCTGGGGCAGCTGCTCCCACCTGGGCAGAGGCGATGGCACTGCCCCTCAGAGCACTGGGGAGGCGGCAGGTGCTCTCGGCCTGGTGCTTACCAGGCTTTCTATGCGGTTGTTTGCTACTGTTTCCCCTTTAATAAGAGGTAGCCTCTTGTCAATGATAAACAAACTCCTTGTGAAGGGGAGATGCAACCCTAACAGCTGGTGAACAGGAGAGCAGTCTGCGGCCCCAGATGGCGGCGGCAGCACTTGGCCTGGGAAGACCCTGGCTTTGGCAGTAGGCGTTCCCGCTCCCTCCCAGCCCTTGCAGGATGCAGACAGAATCTCCCATCAGCAGTGCAAGCCGAGATGGCAGCACCTCCACCGAGTGAGCCTGGCCACAGCAGAGCCAAGTGACAGCCATTCTCCGTTTTAACGTTTGTTTTCCTCCCTTGAATTTCCTCAGCCTAACGTTTCGATCGGGACTACACCAAAGGTGCTTTAAAAGCTGGAGCAAAGGGCCTTGCAGTGCAATCAGGTTGCCAAACACTTGTTTCCCTCCCACAGGAGTTAAAAATCATCGCTGCAAGAGGCATGTGCTTCAAGGGAAATACAAGTTAACTCCTAGTTTCGATGGTACTTGTTACGAGTTCACCTGTTTCGCCTAACCCACACTAATGAACAGGTGGATACAAACGAAGCCAAGTGCATCAAAGGGAACAGCTGAAATCCTGAAGCACCACAGCCTGCAAGTTTCATCATGCCCAGCAGACGCCCGGCCTCTGCGGTTCAGGTTTGACGAGCTCATGGCGAAACCCTCGCTCGCCCAGGAGAGCTCTGCGCTCGGCTTGGCTTCCTCATGCCCGGGTGGCAGCAGCAGCAATTAGACCAAATTGCTCCTTCAATTAAAGAAAAGGAAACAGGACACAACCCAGAAAGACCCTAGACTTCCAAAGGGGATGTGCCTGCCCTGCGGCCACTGCTTCCGGCGGTTTCATGCGTTCACTTCCCAGGAACTCCACGGCTGCATCAGGCAATTGCTCACTCTCTCCAGCAGCTCGCCTCTCAGATTGCCGAGGTGCGGACCACACGCCACCCAGGGCCCTGCCTGGGAAGGGGGCACACCTTCCTCATCCTTTGCCCACACAGGGGTGGGGGCAGAAGGCTGAGCTTCTTTAAGCCTTGAGGATGTCCTTTTATTCCTCAGGGACAGGAAACAGAGGACTTCCCTGCGCCTAAGTACAGAGCTCCGAGAGCCAAACAAAGCGCACTCCCCACGCCTGGCTGGGGGGCCATGGGGAGAATGCCAGCCCTCCCACAGCTGGAAGCAGGCTTGGTATTGCTGTTTAATGCCCAGGCCTGCCATTTGGGAATTAAAAAAAAAAAAAAAACAGAAAATGGGGGAACACTCTTGATGATCAACAAAAATGTGAGAAAAAAAGAAACCTGTGGACAAAGCAACTACAGAAGTGGACAGAGTGGCCCCAAGACCTTCTCGAGCCAAGGAATATGCTTTAAGGGAAATAAAGCTCCACTCCGAGTTTTCACAGTACTTGTCACAAGTTCACCTTTTCACCGAACCTACACTAATGATCAGGTGGATAAAATAAAGCCGGAGCCAGGGACGAGGAAGCCACTGGGGTATTCTCACGGGGGCTGAGCACACAGGTCCCCCGCCCTCACCCCCACTGCCTGGCACAGGGAACCTGCCTCCCTGCCCGCAGGTGCCTAGGGCGGTGCCACACTCCCCTGCAGGCCACAGTGGACTGACTGACAGCCTACACTTTGTCAGACCCTCCATGGTTTTCCATGACCTAACACTTCTTAATGTGACTCATGCAAAAAAATTAGGACTCCACTTATACCCAAACCTTCAAATAAACCCTCTCAACCCCACCCCCCTCCTTCCCCAGAATTATCTCCAACATAAATGCATTGCCCCAGGATCCACGCCACAATGGTCCAGTGGGCACACGCCATGACCTGCACCACCCCTCCCTGCACTCCACACTGGGCGTCCTCCCAGGAGAGCCTCCCCCTGGCCAACTTCCATCACAGCAATTAAACCGAAAATCCCAGTAAAATCCTAACCACCACCACCCCCCAATGCGCTGGAATGAGAGCTGCCTGTGACACAGGCAGTGTATCGGCCCAAGAAGAACACCCGTGTTCATCCATACGACACATGTGCAGACAAAATTTTAAAGACCTCATGAACAAAAACATTTAAGTTATTACATTGTTTTTAGAAAACTATTGTTACCTACCCAAGAAAACTGAATATACATGCTCAAACACTTACATACTCAAGTTCAGATTAACATTAGCCACAACCACAAGAGCTAAGATGCCCAGAAGTGGACTATTATCTGGACATGAACAGGAACGAAGCCCTGAAGGCACCATGTGGATGAGCCTGACAGCATCACATTAACGGAGAGGAGCCAGACACCAAGGGTGCAGCGTGTGCTTCCACTTGTGAGGCGTCCAGAATAAACGAACCACGGGGGGGGCGGGGGGGGGCTGAGGCAAGGTTGGGGGAGACTGCTGATGGGTGTGGAGTTTCCCTTAGGGGTGATGAGAATATTCTTGAATTAGATGTATAGTTCAGTGGCTCTACCATCACCACAACAGTTTCTTTAAAGTTGAAATAGAGCATACATCTATTCATAGAATGGACAAAAGCATGAAAAACACATTCCTTCAACAGGAGTTCTGGAAATGTTTTATTTTTCCAGATTTTCTTTTTTTTTTTTAAATTGATTTCAGAGAGGAAGGGAGAGGGAAAGTAAGGTAGAGACATCAATGATGAGAGAGAACCATGGATCGGCTGCCTCCTGCATGACCCACACTTAGGACCGAGCCCACAACCTGGGCATGTGCCCTGACCAGGAATCAAACCGTGACCTCCTGGTTCATAGCTCGGTTTCAGTGCTCAACCACTGAGCCACGCTGGCTGGGCCAGGTTTTCTTTTTAAATGTCTCAAATATTCTCATCACTTGAATGGCAATCCCTCCTGAAGACAATGGTAACGTGAACGAAAAGAACAGGTGCCGAGAACGTTTCTGAGAGACCAAGCGGTCACTCCCTCGGTGCCCAGAGCGTGGGGGAGAAAGGGATTTCCTGGCGAGGGGCCCGTGGCAGGCCAGCCATCACCAGCGTACCTCCCACCGCCCATGCCCACTGCCTGGGTTATCACACCATCGCCCCACTTTCCACCAGCCCTCCTGGCCGCCTACACCTCATCGGAACCCGCAACAGCCAACGACTCCCAAGACCATGACATCACACTGAGTCACGGGTCCAAACACCTCCATTTAAACACAGTCCAAAGTGTCCTGTTCTCCTGAGAGTGGGCCGTCGGCCTCTACAGCCTCAAAGACAAGAGCAGGACCCACGTCACCCCACTGCAATTACAGAGCAGGAGGTGGAGCACGAGAGCTGCAGAGGGGGTCCACTCCCTCGGGGGGGGCGGGCGGAGCCAGCCCGAGAGAGGCCTCATGGCATGGGCAGCCCCTCTTCTATGGAACTTAAACTAGATCCTTCCTCGTTAGTTAGAAGCAGGACGGCCAGGAAAGGGTAGATATAGGCTCTGTGTTTAACCCAGTTGTTACAAACACCCTAACCTGAGTATCTGCAAAAACTAAGTTTTAAATCACCTGCCTGATTTCATTAGAGCCGTTCCAATAATTATACAATTATACTCCCTTACAGCAGGAAACCCCAGAAGGACACGCCCCTGTCAGCCCGCCCACCGGCCTGCTCGCCGCAGCTCCTTGGGCACCACTGCCCCCTGGCGGCAACATGCAGGCTGACGCAGCCCATCTCCACTGGAGCAGACAGCCCTCGCTGACAACCCATGGCCAGCCCTGGGCAGCCTGAAGGTCCAGCCCAAAGCAGTGGAAAAGGCACTCGGTTCACTGTCCTGTCAGGACTGAATACCTTCCTCTGTTCCAGCCACTCCAGAATGGAGTCAGGTCAACAGAACTCGTCCCCGTTTGGGCAGCTCCACAGCTAACCACTGACAGCCCCCTCCCCCAGGGCAGTGTTTACCAGGGCCTGCAGCATCCCGTCCATGGTGATGACGCCCTCGATGGTCTGGAAGGAGGAGCGGGCCAAAGTGCACAGGCTCCAGTCCAGGAAATCCGCCATCTTCTGTTTGACATCGGGCCGTGTGATAAACCTGCCAGAAGGGAACACAGGCAGGTAGCGGCTCAACCCAGGCCCAACCTAGGAGACCTCACCAACACCCCAATCTACGAAATGAAGACACTGCCCCAACTGTGGTCCTCAGGTAGCGACTCCCCCCGCCCCCAGACCTCTCCGAAGTCCGCGCAATCCCCACACCCCAGCTTCTCCCCACTGGCCTCCACTCATCCCGAGGCCCCATTTGCCACGAGACTACCTTTGCCTACCCCCATGGCTGCCCTGGGCCCCATCAGTGTCACTCCTCAGCCCTCCCTCCTCCCCGGAATGCCGTGCCCCACACACAAGGCCTGGCCCAGCAGCAGGCCCCGCAGGTCTCTCCCTGCATCTGCCGTGGGTCTCCCTTCCCCATGACAGAGCTCCAGCTGGTGTTCATGGCCCCACAGCTGCTCAGCTCTACACCCTCCGCACCCACATGGGTGTGCTGGCTCTCCCCGACCCTCTGTACACCTGGTCTGGGCTGGCAGCCATCTTCCAGCTCCCACACCAAGAACTCTATTCCTCCCCAGCCCATCCACACCCCAATCCCAGCTCTCTGACTCAGTGGCTCAGGCTGAGCCCCTGCCTCCTAGGGGAGCTTGCAGTCTGGGGGCAGAAACATAGGAAACAAGCAAATAATGGGAAGAAAACAGCCAAGTAAGGGGAGGGTGGGAGACAGTGCAGCCTCCAAGAAGTCCAGGGACATGTGGCCAAAGAACGTCAGGAGGAGGCCTCTGTAAGGAGCTCACACTCCCCTCGGGAGCCCCACAGAACACACGGAGGGATGGTTGGCCCTAACGACACGGAAGCACATGCTTGGGGTTCACGCTTGATACCTGGTAGGGGGCTTGCAGGAAGCAGCCAATCAAGTTTGCCTTCTCACATCGGTGTTTCTCTCTCCCTTCCCTTCCTCTCTCTCTCTAAAAATCTAAACTATTTTTTAAAAGGAATATGTTTACAGGAGAGGTCCCAAAGACACAGATAAACAAAAATGGGAAAGATATCTACCCCACAGATAAAAATACACATTTATAGAAACAGATTCTTCTACACAAAGATCTTTGAATCCTCTACTTCCTTCCCTTTTAGAAGTGATATCACAGCCCCACCTGCTCACACACTGAGCTCAGCCAACACGTGCGGGTATCTTAGAGATAAGCCCCAGAAGAATAACTAGAACGATTATCAGCAAACCTTAACTCCAGAACTGGACGTAGCAGAGGAACAAAGGATGCCTCGGCAAAGCGTCCATGGGACAGACAGCCACTCCGGACCATCGTGGGCACCATGACCACACGCTGATAACTCAACAGCTGGTCTAAGAGGGCAACGGCACAGGTAGGTGACAAACCCTATTCTGTGTAATAACTTACTGTGGTTTTTCGTTTGTTTGTCTGTCTGTTTTTCACATCCGAGAATTTTATTGGACGTGGCTCTGGGCCTGGCAGGCCCGGCTCATGGCCCCCCAGCGAGAGCTGGAGGACAGTGGTTCCACACAAAACAATCTCAGGGCACACAGTAACCCCACAAAGCAACACTCTAAAGATTATTAGACCTGGGAGACAGGAGGGCTGCTCCACAGATGTGCAAGCAGGTCAAATCTTTATAAACAAACATACAATGAAAACGACAACTCAAATTCATCCCTATACACAGAGCACTCTACGGCAGGTAAATGGGTGGGGGTGGCCAGAAGCCACCATCCTCACTGGGCCCTGGATGGCACTATTGTGCATTTACAAGACCAACTACTTGGGCCCTAACTGTTTTGGCTCGGTGGATAGAGCGTCAGCCTGCAGACTGAAGGGTCCAGGTTCGATTCCAGTCAAGAGTATGTACCTTGGTTGTGGGCACATCCCCAAAGGGCATGTGCAGGAGGCAGCTGAATTGATGCTTCTCTCTCATCGATGTTTCTAACTCTTTATCCCTTTCCCTCTCCCTTCCTCTCTGTAAAAAATCAATAAAATATATATATTTTTTAAAAAGACCAACTACTTGGGAAGAGTGGGGGCAACTACCCATGCATGTGTGTCAGGCTATTCATTCTGGAATGAGGAGGGAGTGGTCTTTACAGCATATCCTGTGGCTGGTGGGCTTAGAGAGGAGCTACTTTATGGAGAGGATGAGGGCGACGATGAGACCGTAGAGACCCAGCACCTCTGCAAAAATGAGGATCAAGATCATGTCCACAAATAGTTGGGGCTGCTGGGCAGTGCCCCACACGCCGGTGTCCCCCACAATGCCAATGGCAAAGCCAGCTGCCAGCCCACTGCGGCCCACACTCAGGCCAGCGCCCAATGGGAGGAAAGTCCTATAGAGACTGATGCCTTCATTCAGGGAGTTGGCAATAAGGACTGCCACCACCAGGCCACAGATGGCAATGATGCCAGCCATGACCACTGGGACGATGGACTTCATGATCAGCTCTGGTCGCATGACGGACATGGCAGCAATGCCAGTGCCACTCTTAGCAGAACATGCTGAGGACCATGCGGCTAAGGCGCCCATGACCACGAAAAGGAGGCGTATGCGGGCCGCCGCTCTTGGCCTCAGACCTGCCTGTGAGTGGGGTGGGGCAAGCTCAGCAGGCCGCGGTGGGGGCGAGAACCAGCTGGGCGAGGCAGGAAGGCAGCTGGCAGCCAGTGCAAGGCGAGCAATCAGACGGCGGCTAAGGCTCAAACTTACTGTGTGTTTTTAAAGAAATTTATGGAAAAGTGAGATATTCACAAAACAGTGCTACAACAACTAAGTTACCTGTGAGGGGAAAGATCTATCGTATAACCGTATACCAAAAGAAATTCCACATGTACATTAAACAACAAAAATGTAAAAAAACATAAATGACTACTTATAAAATTTGTTAATAAGACTTCAAGCTTAAAAGTAAAAATAACTAAAATAAGGGGAAAATTACTGTTTTGACATTTTTTTATGTTTTTATTGTGTGTGTTTTTTTAAAAGAGAGGAAGAAAGAGAGAGAGAGAAACACTGATGTGAGAGCAGAACATCAATCGGCTGCCTCCCACACTCACCCCAACCACAGATCGAACCTGCAATCCCGGCATGTGCCCTGACTGGGAATTGAACCGGTGACCCATCAGTACACAGGATGACGCTCAACCAACTGAATCACACCAGCCAGGGCACCGTTTTGATATTAAAAGTAAAACTTTCGTCCAAAGGAGAAAGTAAAAGGCCACCAACCGCCTGGGGTACAGAGCCCACCCACACCTGTAGGAAGCTCACGCTAGTGAAGAAGACAGTGCACCAAGAAACCCACACACAGAAGTCAGGCCACAAAGCAGGCAGGTGAAGCCTAAGACAAGAAACAGGTGCTGAACCTCACCCGCTACCAGCACCTGACACAGGGGACAGCACGGGGCCATGTCACTGTGGTGACGCCGAGGGAGGGAAGGCAGGATGCTAACTCAGTGAGACTGTGCGTGCACGGTCGGTGTGTACATGGGCAATGCCATAGCAGTGCAGGCAAAGAAAAGAAATGCAACACAGGTACTGTGCATTAGAATTACAAATTTGTGTGGGGTTTTTCTAATTTTCTATCCCAAAATTTCCAACTTTCCTATATACAGCTCAGATTGCTTTTATAATTAAACAAGAACATCTGCTTTTAAAATTGATGTAATCAATAGGAATAAAGTCATGTGTTTCCACTGACAAGTGTCTATAAAAGAAACTCAAATCTAAACGTCTTGGCATCCACAGAACATCAAGTTACATAAAACAGCGGCGTTTCAGGTTCAGTTAGTAAAGAGAAACAGGAAGCCCCAGAACTACAAGCAGTGAAGGGAAAACATCTGACCTCGTTAGACAGGCAGCTCCCTCTGCAAAATACCAGAAAATAAGCAGGCAGAGGAGAAAAGCCAACGCAGCCAGCCCTGCACACCCATCACCATATTGAACAACCCACACACAAAAGACAGAAACATGTCACTCAGAGCCTGCCTGGGGCATGCGTGCTATGAGGTGAGCTGACCGAGAGCAGCTTGAAGCCCTCATCGGATACCACTCGCGCCCGCTCCAGGAAGCCTGAGGGCAGGGCCGCACTGCGGCCTGGCAACCTGGCTGGAGCATTTTAAGGCGCTGAAAACCCGACAACAAGGAACACTTGCTCCCGTTGACCACCAGGTGGCGAGGGAGAGTCCCGCCAGTGGCTGAACCCGCCCCATGCCAGGACTGGGTCTCTGCTGTCATCTTTCCCCTGGAGGCCACCAGGGTGGGAATAAAAGGTTTAGGGATTCACCTCCTCCACCCACAGACTCAAAACTCCCCAAAGTCAGGCTCAGCACAAACCTACCAAACCCTCAGTAATTCTGGTAACAAATAAAGACATTTTTCACTCATAAGGTCACACACCGTATTGGTAAATATGGGGAAAAGGTGACTTTCAATTTGTTCAACCTTTCCAATCACATCATTTAAAACCTCTAAAATGCTCATTCCACTTCTAGGAACTCATCCTTAAGAATCAATCAGAACAGTACAAAGTTTTATGCAGGATGTGCATGTCGGTATTAATTTTACTAACCAAATGGTGGGACAGCAGCCCACACGGCCAACAGGAGGTTGGAGAAACCACGTTCACATCATAACCATGAGGCAGAAGACTGAAGGGAGCTCCAGACCTGTCGGCACCTGGTACGGACACACGTGGGCACCAACACGCCCGCAGACAAGCGCCCACACACAGTGGCAGGACAAAGGACACAAGCAGTTCCATCTCAGGGAGATGGAAGTACATGTGAGTTCTGCCGGGAGCCGGTCCATCCTTGCTGTTTCAAGGGACCTGGCGTATATGGCATACTGTTCTTAATGTTTGCTCACCTTCTTGGCGCTATGTGTTTTAACCAAGGTCACCTCTCCGAGAAAGGTTGTTTCCCCAGGTAGGGATTTTTCCCTGAAGTTAGGGAGGGAATAAAACCCCTTAACTAAGTGCCAGGCGGGTAATTAATCACTTACAGAACCTGGCTGAAGAACCTAGAGAGAACGTGGCTAGAGAACCTGGACAGAACCTGGCGACTGAACCTGCCTGGAGAACCTAGCAAGAGAACATGGACACAGAACCTGGCTGGAGATCCTAACCAGAACTTTGTTGGAGACCCTGACAAGAGAACCCAGCTACGATGATCACCTGAACGCTGCCTCCATGTCATTCCTTCTTCGCCGACTCCGTCCACACCTATGGGGAACCCCTGGACCTGCTGGGGTTGGACCCCAGCATCTGGCGCGAGAACCTGGCTGAAGAACCTAGAGACAGAACCTGGCTACAGAACCTGGATAGAACATGGCAAGAGAACCTGACTAGAACCTGGTGACTGAACCTGGCTGGAGAACCTAGCAAGAGAACATGGACACAGAACCTGGCTGGAGATCCTGGCTAGACTGCTGATCAACTGAACGCTGTCTCTGTGTCATTCCTTCTTCACCAACTCCGTCCACACCTTTGGGGACCCCTGGACCTGTTGGGGTTGGACCCCAACAGAGTTCTATTTTGTACTTTGTGCTCTTCTGTATTTTCCGAAACACACACGATCACTTTTACAATCAGAAATCAACGCGCTGCCTTTCAGTCCTTGTCCAAGCCGTGGGGCCTCAATCTGGCAAGCGTCTCAGGCAGCTCACTCCTAAAATCGGCTTCTTTCGTTCAGGCTTCTTACGTTCTGTGGTTCACCAAGTGCCTTCACAAATCTCTCTCCCAATGCCCCTAAGTGCTCTCTGAGTTAAGTGTTTCACTTCCCACTTTGTGCAAGGAGGCCATGGCTGTATAAGGTGACCCAGAATCCCTGAATGAGGTGTGGCCCATTTCCCAATCGGAATATCCACACATTTTTAGAGCCAATTTCCAACATTCACGAATGTAGAGGAAACCCAAAAAAGCCAAGTTTTCTAATGTATTTTTCTCCACACACATTTTACACCATGTCATACAAAAGATTAATTTAGAAAAACGGCGCCTTCCCATCCTCACATGTCAGTTTCTGCACACAGTGGGCCCACCGCCTGGGTCGGCTTACCCAGCCCATCAGACAGAGCCATCCTACCTATTTGAGGCCTGGCCCATTGCTTAGTTAACCCATCAGTGATGGCGAACCGATGACACGCCTGTCAGAGGTGACACGCAAACTCACGCAAACTCTTTTTTTTGGTTGATTTTTCTTTGTTAAATGGCATTTAAATATATAAAATAAATATCAAAAATATAAATCTTTGTTTTACTATGGTTACAAAGATCAAAAAATTTCTATATGTGACACGGCACCAGAGTTAAGTTAGGGTTTTTCAAAATGCTGACACACCGAGCTCAAACGGTTCACCATCACTGACCTAGGTGACTGGGGATTTTTATCCCAAGCCACAACGACCCAATCACAGCTCATGATCTGCAGTAAAATGCTTTCTAAGTGACTTTCAAAGGCGCGTCTAACTGCCACCCTATTCAGTATCTGCCCTCTGCTCAGTTGATGGCCTATGAGGTGGCTTCCTTGAACCCATAACCCAGTCTCAGGACTTCTGTAAGCCACTAACCCACAGTTGGGTGGCCTGTGCGTCCTGACCCAGGATCTGATAACCTGTGAGCCCCAGCCCACTGTCAGGTGACCAATGAGCCCCTAGCTCGTAACAGGTGACCTGTGAGACCCTAACCCAGCATCAGATGTCCTGAGTGAGCCCCTAACTGGCACTGTCAGTGGTCATGAGGTTCACAGATCTCCCACACCCAAACAGAGCTGATGCTCCCTCAAAGAAATAGACAGAAACACGAGGGCAGGGCACTGAGGGAGCAAGGGAAGGAGGAAGCGGGGAGGCCAGGGGGAGCCACGCTGTGGTGGTGCCAGGCGGCAGGGAAGGAGGAGGCGGGAAGGTGGGGAGCCTGATCAGCCCTGATCACCGGCCAGGCCCAGGGACCCTACCCGTGCTCCAATTTCGTGCACTGGGCCTGTAGTGTGAGATAAACCCCTCAGAAGGCAGCAGTCACACATCCACCAACAGGGCCGCAGGAGGGCAATCGGGCACTTACTTGGACACGAGGACAGCAGCCGCGTCTCGGGCCTTGTCACTGACAACCAAGTAGGACTACAAGAAAGCAAAAGGAGAGGTGCCATTACACACAGAATAAATCTCAGGAGGCTGTTCAGCCGGCCAGTCCTGCACTCAGGAGCTTCCCGAGAGCCCAATGCATGAAGCTCACAGACAGAGGCCAAATGCCAAAGCTGCACAAACCTCTCTGAACTTGACCTATAGCTGCAGCTGTCGAGAGCTGTGCTCACCTCAGGCAAGCGCCAAACCACACACAGTGTGTGTCATAGCCCTACAAAGACATATGCAGAAACAGCAGAAAGATGAGCCGTGTGTGTTACCCACTGTAACAATCCGTGTCCACAGAGCACACTTGGGCCCTAGAGCATTAAGTATCAGGACAGTCAGGAGGCCTCATGCAAACAGAAGGGCCCCTGGGTCTAACACAAACAAGTAGCTTTTCTTAGGAGGCCCGCCTTCAGAGGTTTCCAATGCTCATCTCAACTAACTTTTTTCCAAATAACACTCTTCAAAGAGCTTTCCTCTGAGGCAGGCTTTCTGGAGAACAACCGCACAGGGTGTCAAATGGTTAGCAATGTACCGCCCTCATCGGGCAATCCCGCCGAGGACACAGCACACAGGGACCCCAAGGTGCTCACCACCACCTGCTGTGACCGAGCACACCTAGGAAGTGTCCATCTGTGAGAGAGAATTTTAAAACTGGGTTCAGTGGAGCACCTTTTTCCTTAAAGATTATGAGGGCGACATCTGACGTAAGACATTCGGGATGTGCTGCCTAGGCCCTGCTGAAGTGGGCAGTGAGGAGCACCGTAAAAAGCACAGGCTCCAGAGCCAAGCTGCCTGGGTTCAAAGGTGGATCCATTTATGAGAAAATGAACCTGCCGAAACCGGTTTGGCTCAGTGTATAGAGCGTCGGCCTGCAGACTGAAAGGTCCCGGGTTCGATTCCCGTCAAGGGCATGTACCTGGGTTGCGGGCACATCCCCAGTGGGAGATGTGCAGGAGGCGGCTGATCGATGTCTCTCTCTCATCGATGTTTCTGACTCTCTGTCTCTCTCCCTTCCTCTCTGTGAAAAATCAATAAAATATATTTTAAAAAAAAAATGAACCAGCTAAGTTACTTATCTGTATGCCTACTGTCTCCTCAGCAAAATGATTAAAACAGTGGCCTGACTCGTTAAGAAGGATTAGATGAGTTAATATATGAAAAGCGATCAGCACAGTGTCTGCACACAATGGCGCTCAATGAATGCTTGGTATGAAAGTATGGCTGGCAGGCTGTAAGGTGACCCCGGTCCTGTCGGCGGGCACGTGCACCCTGTGTAATCCCTCCCAGATGGTTAAACACACTGTTTGCTTCAAACCAAAAGGTGTGGGGAGAGGTGGAGGTGGACATCACCCCGTGACAGTAGCCCGTCACTGGGGCTGCGTCTGGCCAGCGGAGCCCGGCCTTGCTGGCTTGGACAGAATAAGCTGCCCTGTGGGGGGGCCATGCGGTAAGGAACGGCCAACAAAGAATTAAGGCCCTGAGGGTCTGATTTCTGCCACCAACCAAGAGAGCTCGGAAGCGTACCCGCCCCGGGGCCTGACTGCAACCAGGGGAGACCGCCAAGCAGAAGGCGGAGCAGCCACGCCCAGAGTCCTGATCCACTGAATCTGAGTTGACACACGTGTTAAACGACTCAAGTTTAGGGTAAGTCTTTAAACAGCAGTAGATAAATAATATAATAATCTACATCTACATGCACAATATTTACATCAGATGTTTGAACACTACATATAAGTGTTATCTCCTGGCACTAGAATTTGAGACTGTATTATTTTTGATGCTTCTCTATTTTCTAGTTTTTCTACAATGATCAGGTATTATCAATGACATTAAGATTTAAATTTAAATAGACCTTTATTTTACCTTACCATTGCCACCTGAGACCTCTTATATGTCATTATTATGCTTAAAGTATTTGCAATATCTATAAAGAAATGAAATTTGCTAAAACAATTCATCCTGACCTCTATATGAATTACCACAATTTCCAAATAAGTAATGAAATTTTACCCCTGAAAAATAATAACAGCAACTGCAGAAATATAGAAGTGTCAAGAGTGTACCTAATTAAACTCTAATATCAGGACAGCATGAGCACAAAGAGCACTAACTATTGGTAATTACTAGTACAACCACACTCACCTGTGCTATTTGGAGAATACGGTCGGTTATGGACATTCGTGTTTGCCCTGGTTGGGTGTGAAGGTTCCCATCAAGGCGTGTAAAATCGAAAGGGATCAGGCAGGTCATGGAGAGCCACAGTAGAAGCATGTAGCGGGTCTCCCAAGTCTAAGAAGTTAAACCAAAATAAAATGATTCCTGTATAAAGGAGGGAGGCAACCCACACGCCCCGATCACAAACCTGGTACCCTCCCTGCCCACTCAATGCCCACTCCAGGCCCCTCAAACACCACTGACTTGAGTCTGGGGTTCCGGCCATCGCTAGCTCCTCCCCTGATGTCCCTATGTCCCACCACACCACACACACCCTCCTCATACAGACGTGGCTACCACAGCAGACCAAACAAACAGCCAAGTGGACAAAGGAAAATAATCACACATCAGTATGACAGCTTTTCCTCACTGGCACGCTTCAGCATGCAATCAGCCTTTTGAGAAAGTAGAAAGCACATAGAAACAGAAGACGAGAAAAAATTCTCAACTTCCCATCAAAGACAAGTGCCCAGAATTTCAGCAGTCAGTGAAGCAAGACTCCACTTTGGCCCTGGAATCACCTTCTCTGCAAGAAGCAGAGGAGCCCAGCCTGGCTCAGTGGTTGAGCGTCGACCTATGAACCAGGAGGTCAGGGTTCAATTCCCGGTCAGGGCACATTCCTGGGTTGTGGGTTCAATCCCTGGTAGGCGGTGAGGCAGTCGATCGATGATTCTCATCAGTGAGGTTTCTAACCCTCTCTCCCTCTCCCTTTCTCTCTCTGAAATCAATTTAAAAATTTTTTCTAAATATATTAAGAGAAAAAAAGAAGCAGAGGACGCCCTAACGGGTGTGGCTCAGTGGATAGACCGTTGACCTGCGGACTGAAAGGTCCCAGGTTCAATTCCAGTCAAGGGCATGTACCTTGGTTGTGGGAACATCCCTAGTAGGAGGTGCGCAGGAAGCAGCTGATTGATGTTTCTAACTATCCCTCTCTCTTCCTCTCTGTAAAAAAATCAATGAAATATATTAAAATGTTTAAATAAGGGGACTCGTTTCCCTCCCCACTTGAGAGTCTGAACTTGATCTTCAATAAATCTCCACCTTTGCTATACCTAAAAAATAAAATGTTTAAATAAATAAAGAAAGAAGCAGAGGAGAGCAGGAAAGGCTCACACAAGGCTTCGACAGAAATGGGGCACATTCGCACTAAGACCTTCAAGCTGTGGTTGTAACTGTGGGCTCTTCTGAATGCAACGGGCACGAGAGTGCTCCCTCCGCAGGCCTGGCTGCTCTCCTCAGAAAGGCTCGCGTACAGGGCAGCCACCATGCCCATCAGGGGCCTGGATTTCATTAGAGTCCCCACCATTCCCTCACTGACAAGGGTGACTCACTGTGCCCAGACCGACTGCACAGACCGTGAGGTTTATGCTGAACACCTGCTCTCCTCTGGGAGCCTGAGGTTGCAGTCCATGCCCAGCAGAGTGCCTACAAGACCAGCCCCCATAGGAACCGTGGGTTCTCGTCTCCATACCTTCCGTGGGGGACACTCCACACGTATGGTCACCACTCGGTGCTGGGGAATTACAGGTGTTCTAGGTGACCCACCCAGGGGAAGGCTGGCATTGCACTGAGCATAATGCTTTCCACATAGGGATATTTCAAGTTAAAGAAAAGTGGGTGGTAAGAGGGTTATCACCACACTGTGTAAGCGTATTTTCTTTATAAAAGGAATTATTTTTTTAAAAAAAAAAGATAATTTAAAGAAACGTAAAAAAAAGAGAAAGCCAAAAGAATACAAGAGTGACACTAAACAGCATAGTAAGGTAAAACGCAGAGACAGGCAGATGACGGTGCCAGAGCAGGGGCGGAGCAAATAAGGGAAGAGAGAGGAGGGAGAGGAGGGAACATGCAGGGAGAAGGAGAGGGACACTCACTTCATGGTCCTTAGGGTTCTGGTTTGTAAACATGTCTAAAACAGGCTGCACGTCAGCTACTTCATGAGGAAATAGACGAAGAAATGTTTTATATCCTCGAACCTACCAAATTTTTTAAAAAAGGCATTTATTATATAACTAAGAAAATAAAGGAAAAAAATTATCTTTTCCTCATCAAAAATTACCACCAAGCCCTGGCTGGTGTAGGTAGCTCAGTTGATTAGAGCAAAGTTACAGGTTGGATCCCCAGTCAGGGCACATACAAGAATCAACCAATGAGTGCATAAATAAGTGCACAGCACACTGATGTTTCTCTCTCCCCCCTCCCACCTTCCTCTCTCTCTAATATCAATAAATAAAGAGTGTGGCTCAGTGGGTGATCATCGACCCAGGAACCAAGAGGTCATGGGTTCGATTCCCAGTCAGGGCACATGCCCGGGTTAAGGGCTCGACCCCCAGTGAGGGACATGCAAAAGGCAGCCAATCAATGATTCTCATTATTGATGTTTCTATCTCTCTCTCTCTCTCCCTTCCTCTCTGAAATCAATAAAAATATATTTTAAAACAAATAAAATAAAAATCAATAGAAACAAATCAATAAATAAAAGTAAAAAATCACCACCTATGCCACCCAGTGATCAAAGAAAATGAGATCATATTACAGTGATACAACTTAGAAACACTCATCGAGCTACAGCGAAGTGTGCACCCTCACTGGCCAAGTGCCTCTCTCCAGCACACAGCAGGCATCACTGCAACGTGTAGCCCACAGAACCACAAAGCCCACCCTGAGAGGCTCTACATCACTCCATGGTGAAAGTGCAAACAGTAAGTGCAGGCCAGACACAGACATCACCCGGGAGCTTATTCAAATGCAAGAATATCAGGTCCCACCCAGGCAGACTTATGAAGAACCTTCATTATAACAAGGTCCCCAGGAAAAGCACCTGTACATTAAAGTTTGAGAAGTACTTTCATTTCCATGTTTGTTTGCTTTTTCCTTGTAAAAAACTTTTCTGAATCAGTCATCTCTCTCCCTCTATTTCTAGTTAGGTGGTACCTGATCTACTCAAATGCAAATGATAAATACGTTGGATATTGTTGCAGCCAAAAGAACCCATGGATCACTAAATATGGGACCCCAAAAATATGGTAAAATGAGAAAATAGCCCTTGCCGGTGTGGCTCAGTTGGTTGTGCATCCTCCCATGCACCGAAAGGTTGCTGGTTTGATTCCCATTTAGGGCACATGCCCTGGTTTCAGGCTCAGCCCCCGGTAAGGGGCATGCAGGAGGCACCTGATGGACACTTCGCTCTCACATCAATGCCTCTATCTCTCTCTCCCTCTCCAAAACTCAATTAAAAATCTTTTTAAAAAGCCCTAACTGGTTTGGCTCAGTGGATGGAGCGTCGGCCTGTGGATTGAAGGGTCCCAGGTTCGATTCCAGTCAAGGGCATGTACCTTGGTTGCAGGCACATCCCCAGTAGGGGGTGTGCAGGAGGCAGCTGATCAATGTTTCTCTCTCATCGATGTTTCTAACTCTCTATCCCTCTCCCTTCCTCTCTGTAAAAAATCAATAAAATATATATTTTAAAAAATCTTTAAAAAATAAAAGCAGGAGAGAAAAAATAAAACCCACAAGTTACGTGTGAAAACCATCTTTTCCAAGAAAAAACATTTTTGGAAGGTAACTTCTGGACCAGGTATATTAAGAAAGTATTGTCAAAAGAAGAAAAAAAACAAATTTTAAAAAGTGTTCTGTCAACTATGAAGTGCAAAGCAAATGTTACCTTGGTGATGATGTAAAGAAATTTAAAAGCCAGATGTACGAGGTCAACTGGAGACGTCTTATCTTGCACTATTTCCAACAACAAGTTCATCATCCATTCTAGAGAAAAAGAGACACAAAACATTTGCTATAAAATTAAACATTAATATGACATTGAAACAAAATGCCAAAAGAAAAAAGGGTTACTTTAGGCAAATTACAGAGCAAAAACTGACAACTGAAAGGAGAACCTGACAAACCTGTAACTGTAGTTAACCCCTAGAGTGCCGGGGAGTGCAATCGCGCTCCTCCTGTCTTTCGCCAAAAGTGCCGGGAGCCCTATCAAAGCTTCGAAATGGCATCCAGTTCTAAGTCTGCTTTTATTAGTGATGATGATATTGCTAAATATGTCAATATAGTAAAGGTTTCCTTAAGTTTTTGAATATGTAACTTCATTTACTTGCAATTCATAATTTTTTTCCTAAACTGCTGTAAAATCTGCAAAAATGCCTTGGCAATTTTAGCATAGTTACTAGAATATTGGTTGGCACTCAAAGGGTTAAAGATTTCTACACTCCTCTCAGAATTGATAGAACAAGTGAGAAGAAAAATCAGTAAGGACATGATCAACTCAACAGATGCAGAAAATGCATCTGACAAAATTCCACATCATTTTATAATAAAAATTCTCAACAAAGTGGTAATAGAGGGAACATATCTCAACATTGTGAAGGCCACATATGACAAGCCCATAGCTAATATCTCCCCCAGCCAGGTTACCAACCAAGGATTAGTCTCCCGCCTGCGATAGGAGAGTTCAGAAAGCTTACCTTCTACAAAACCTGTCCGTTACTTGAAGAACAGCACCAGCCCACTTTTCAGAAGTCACATGTGTGCACAAAGCTAACTCTTCCTGCCTACCCATTCCCGGTTCACATCTTTACACCTCCCAGCCCTGCTAACAAGTAAGACCCAGGCACTTCATCCTGACACCTTCTGCTGGCAAGCACACATACACACGCACAAGCACGCACATACACACACGCACAAGCATGTGCATGCATACGCACACAAGCATGCACACACGCACACAAGCGTACACACACACACACACGCATGTGCGCACACAAGCCCGCACTCACAGCAGAGCTTTGTGGTCATCGGGAACTGGGTGACCACAATCAGTTAGCAGCCTATTCTTACCGAGGTGTGGGTCCAACAGGTGAGGCTGCTGCTGGTACTTGTCCATGATCACTAGAGAGGAGAATGGGAGAATTCATGTCTCCAAGACATGCACAGGAGCCTCGTAACTTCCAGTTTTCCTCCTCAGCCCCAGCCCGTGCAGCCCCCAGGCCCCAGGACACCGGGTGAACGCGTCGGGGCCCGCTGGGCACACCTTCCTCCCGGGGCCTCGTCCCCCTCCTCAGACCTTCCACAGCCCGGCCGGT